CATAAATTCAAAATTTATCAATAATTACAAATGAGTGGATGGTTGCGAAACTTATGGGTGGACCTCTGCGGGACGAGCGCAGCGAGTTCCGCAGCCATCTATTTATCAATATGTTGTTTAATTACGATACTAACCTGACTCACTCAAATGTGAGTTATTCTCATTAGTTTGAAAACTACACGTGAATGTCTTACTTGAACAGTTCAACAGTATATTGGTGAGTAGATGGTAGAATGTAATCTCTCAAAAGGACTATTCGAATTAGGGTTCCGATTCCTACAACTGATATGTTCACTTTGTAGCAGTGTTTGATGGAAACATCCTTTGGTTTATAAATTCTGAAAGTTTGAAATCGATCTGATACTCCCAAATATTTTTCAAGATTTCTCAAAGGTGAATTTTCCAACTTTTAATAAACTTCAAAGCGACTTCAAATTTTTACGATTTATTAATTATTAGAGTCTGAGGCTCATAAATAGTAGAGTAGATGGCTGCGGAACTCGCTGCGCTCGTCCCGCAGAGGTCCACCCATAAGTTCTGCAGTAATCTACTCATTTGTATTTAAGCCACTTGTTACATAAATTCAAAATTTATCAATAATTACAAATGAGTGGATGGTTGCGAAACTTATGGGTGGACCTCTGCGGGACGAGCGCAGCGAGTTCCGCAGCCATCTATTTATCAATATGTTGTTTAATTACGATACTAACCTGACTCACTCAAATGTGAGTTATTCTCATTAGTTTGAAAACTACATGTTTCAGGTGAATGTCTTACTTGAACAGTTCAACAGTATATTGGTGAGTAGATGGTAGAATGTAATCTCTCAAAAGGACTATTCGAATTAGGGTTCCGATTCCTACAACTGATATGTTCACTTTGTAGCAGTGTTTGATGGAAACATCCTTTGGTTTATAAATTCTGAAAGTTTGAAATCGATCTGATACTCCCAAATATTTTTCAAGATTTCTCAAAGGTGAATTTTCCAACTTTTAATAAACTTCAAAGCGACTTCAAATTTTTACGATTTATTAATTATTAGAGTCTGAGGCTCATAAATAGTAGAGTAGATGGCTGCGGAACTCGCTGCGCTCGTCCCGCAGAGGTCCACCCATAAGTTCTGCAGTAATCTACTCATTTGTATTTACGCCACTTGTTACATAAATTCAAAATTTATCAATAATTACAAATCAGTGGATTGTTGCGAAACTTATGGGTGGACCTCTGCGGGACGAGCGCAGCGAGTTCCGCAGCCATCTATTTATCAATATGTTGTTTAATTACGATATTAACCTGACTCACTCAAATGTGAGTTATTCCTATTAGTTTGAAAACTACACGTTTCAGGTGAATGTCTTACTTGAACAGTTCAACAGTATATTAGTGAGTAGATGGTAGAATGTAATCTCTCAAAAGGACTATTCGAATTAGGGTTCCGATTCCTACAATTGATATGTTCACTTTGTAGCAGTGTTTGATGGAAACATCCTCTGGTTTATAAATTCTGAAAGTTTGAAATCGATCTGATACTCCCAAATATTTTTCAACATTTCTCAAAGGTGAATTTTCCAACTTTTAATAAACTTCAAAGCGACTTCAAATTTTTACGATTTATTAATTATAAGAGTCTGAGGCTCATAAATAGTAGAGTAGATGGCTGCGGAACTCGCTGCGTTCGTCCCGCAGAGGTCCACCCATAAGTTCTGCAGTAATATACTCATTTGTATTTAAGCCACTTGTTACATAAATTCAAAATTTATCAATAATTACAAATGAGTGGATGGTTGCGAAACTTATGGGTGGACCTCTGCGGGACTCGCTGCGCTCGTCCCGCAGCCATCTATTTATCAATATGTTGTTCAATTACGATACTAACCTGACTCACTCAAATGTGAGTTATTCTCATTAGTTTGAAAACTACACGTTTCAGATGAATGTCTTACTTGAACAGTTCAACAGTATATTGGTGAGTAGATGGTAGAATGTAATCTCTCAAAAGGACTATTCGAATTAGGGTTCCGATTCCTACAACTGATATGTTCACTTTGTAGCAGTGTTTGATGGAAACATCCTCTGGTTTATAAATTCTGAAAGTTTGAAATCGATCTGATACTCCCAAATATTTTTCAAGGTTTCTCAAAGGTGAATTTTCCAACTTTTATTAAACTTCAAATTTTTACGATTTATTAATTAGAGTCTGAGGCTCATAAATAGAATTATGAACTGCTAAAAAGTTTCAACTTAAACTTAGATTTCCTAACAACAGTTTGAGATAGTGGAGTTATGAATTTATAATAAACTAAACTACAATCGACGAGTTTTGTCATAGGAAAATTGCAAAAGCCTTGTAATATCAAGAAAGATTTTGCTGAAAGGGCTTCGAAAATGCCTTCATTAGGAGAGAAGTTATAATTGAGTCCTGAAAACTTCTCAAAGGATTAAGGGGGTGAAAGTTTTTTAATCTGTATTTACTTCGTGTCCCTCCCGTAGGCTGTTCTCACACCAAATCAATGTTGAGAATTTCCATCTTCCTTAGTTAAAAATTCACATTATTCAAATAGGTGGCTGTTGACGTAAAATATACCAAAACTCATTTCATTATTTTATATTTTCTACTTTTGGTTCAAAGCATTTGCCTGAAACGAACACGGAATTATAAATTGAGCACAAAGGACTAGATTGCCAACTCTTATCGTTATTGTTAAAACTGGAAAATATTTATGCAAATTCCTGGAAACTTAACAAAGGAGGCATTTGCGCATGCAGCACCAACCCCCATTTTAATTAGCCATTTTTACTCAGTGGATTATATTAATTAAATTCGTTTCATATAAACATGTAGGCCACCTCCTACAACAAATCGAAATCTGATTTCGTTTAAATGAAAATGTTCCACTCTGACTAATTAGTTTTCCAGTTTATCCTGGAAAAGTTAATTGGAAAACGTCTCGAGTTTCAACGCAAAATGTCCAGATTTGTTTTCCCTTTTTTTTTTAATATGGTTTGTATTAAAATCCTCGGCAGCTACAATTTCCTCGAAATTCAAAGAGATTTCCCCTAGTACACCTTTGGCATACTTAATTGGATTTTGGAGGAGGATTTTTCAACCCCTCTTTGATCGAAACTAGGACAATAACCATAGTGCCTCCACATACATACTTTGGAATTGGGCCAAAATCTATATAGGTCATCTTCTCTTGATGCGCTATCGCTTCTTTTAACATAAAAGATTAATAGATTATTGAATAACAGAATGTAGTTCTTGTTTGATGAACATTTTTTTAGTGAAAATGTTCAAAACTTGATCAACTAGAGAAGAAATGTAGAAAATTTAAGTAAAATCATTCATGTTTTTTCTATTCCAGGCTCTTGAATTTTCCTTATTACAACAAAATTAAGAGCCGGAAATAAATAGAGAAATAAAGAAGAGAAATTGAGACAAAATTGGAACACAAAGTATAGAGATTTTGAAGGAATATCGTATGGAAATTGGTGTAAATAATTATGTTCCAATGACATTTTCTACACTTTTTAATGAAAATCTACCCAAAATAGGGTTCAAAATTGCATTTAAAACCAAAAAATCGTCTAAAATTGTTTCAAATATGCTTGTTTCTGAGTTTTCTATTGAAATGTCAAGAGAAATCGTCCAAAATTTGTGTAAATTATTGCATTTCAATGACATTTTCCATGATTATGGACACTTTTCAATGAAAATCTACCCAAAATAGGGTTCAAAATTTGCATTTAAAACTAAAAAATCTTGTTTCAAATATGCTTGTTTCTGAGTTTTCTATTAAAATATCAAGAGAAATCGTCTGAAATTTGTGTAAATTATTGCATTTCAATGAGATTTTCCATGATTTTGGACACTTTTCAATGAAAATCTACCCAAAATAGGGTTCAAATTTGCATTTAAAACCAAAAAATCGTCTGAAATTGTTTCAAATATGCTTGTTTCTGGGTTTTCTAATGAAATATCAAGAGAAATCTTCCAAAATTTGTGTAAATTATTGCATTTCAATGACATTTTCCATGATTATGGACACTTTTCAATGAAAATCTACCCAAAATAGGGTTCAAATTTGCATTTAAAACCAAAAAATCGTCTAAAATTGTTTCAAATATGCTTGTTTCTGGGTTTTCTAATGAAATATCAACAGAAATCGTCCAAAGTTTGTGTAAATTATTGCATTTCAATGACATTTTCCATGATTTTGGACACTTTTCAATGAAAATCTACCCAAAATAGGGTTCAAAATTTGCATTTAAAACTAAAAAATCTTGTTTCAAATATGCTTGTTTCTGAGTTTTCTATTAAAATATCAAGAGAAATCGTCTGAAATTTGTGTAAATTATTGCATTTCAATGACATTTTCCATCATTTTGAACACTTTTCAATGGAAATCTACCCAAAGTGTTATGCCTTGCTGAAACTTATCCCATATTAAAATCAAAACTTTACATTCGTTTAAAATTTGTATCTTTTGATGTGTTGCTCAAGTATTTATTGTAACTGATGACGTCAATACCTAACAAATCTGAAATACAAATTATTTGATGCGTTCAATAAGTATTCGGAACAAAGTTCTGCTCCAGAGCCGGTACAAAGACCAAATGAAAACCCCTGGTATTTCAGTAAGAAACCCCTCTAATGATAATTACAAGATTCGATATGGAAAAGTCAAAATTATAGGGATAGAAAAATAAAAAGGAAGGAGACAACCACCTGTGATGAGGGGTATAGAATGGAAGAGCAAAAGAGGGGCTGAACCATATTCCGCCACCGCCGGCCGACGATATTGATTTTCCCGAAGCAATGCAGATATGTCGGCCAGAGAGTAGCTACTACCATATAGTCAAAATTGAATTTTTCCTTCTAAAAATTTTCCACTCACAAAGTTTTATATTATTAGTATAAATTTTGCTTGGGTGGCGTCGCGACGCCCGCCTACTTACTTAGATTTTCTCAAAAAGTCAGTCAATTGTTATATACTTACTTGCCCAATTCTTCTTTGAGATCGTAATTGTCGCTGAATCGCGTACAAACTATTGGAACAGCCATTGCAGATTTTTTTCAAAAAAAAAAACACAATTAAGTAGGTTTTTTTTTCGCTTAATAAGAAAAGTACCGCGCACCCAAAAAAAGCCTACTACGACCAACAAACGTCACTCGAAGCCATTTTCAGTTTGCTGCAGGAAAATTAAAATTAAAACTAAAAAACCACCCGTTTGATTTTTTTGGATATATAAATATGCGTCAAAAAACGCGAGACCGTCCAATCGCCACCAGAGGCTCTCAGGATCGGGCCGGAATCGTTGTAAATGTTCGTCCACTCGCCACTCGGATCTATCTAACCTCCAAAAAGATCAATATTCGACTTCGCGTATACGCAATGTTTTAACCGAGGCCGTAGCAGTATAGCAGCAGGAGCGTCGTTGCCGAACTTTACAATCCTGCTGAGGACAAGAACCAAAAATCTCAGATAGTTATAATGCTCAGAAACTTCCACTGTTGACTTGGATTTAGACAAACTTGTAATTTGCAAGATTTCAGGGTCCTTATTCCTTCAGCAGCGTTCCCAGGAGAACGAGTGTTCCGCTTGGGGGATGAAGCCATCAAAGGCAATACATACACGGCACTGCAAGTACACACGTATACCTTTTGGCTTGAAAAATGCACCTGCTACATTTCAACCGTGCAATGTTCTTTTTTTGCAGTTTTTCTAGATTTTTCATTGATAAGACTTTGAAAGGTCATAACTTTTTTCATATTATAGATAGATGGCTGAAACTTTCACTGAATTTTATCCTAATAAAATTGAAACTGAAAATTTCAGCTCATTTGCACTTATAGTTCCTGAGATAAAATTGTGTTAAACAATTTGGGGTGATGTATCAATTTTTCAATATTTCTGAGAATAATTTAGTGTATGGAGTTTGGGGGATGTTGATTGACCATTAGGATACAAAATCTCGACAGAAATTTTTTTGAAATTTCATCGTTTTAGTAAGAAGGTACCTTATGATTTAGATTTTGGAAAACTTTGAAAGGTCATAACTTTTTTTCTATTATGGATAGAAACCTGAAACTTTCACTGAATTTTATCCCTTTCAGAGGATTATAATCCCTGAAAATTTCAGCTCATTTGCACTTATAGTTCCTGAGATAAAATCGTGTTAAGCAATTTGGGGTGATTTATCAATTTTTCAATATTTCTGAGTGCCTTTTTTCATAGATTTCGGCTTCAAATCTGAGAATAATTCAGTGTATGGAGTTTGGGGGATGTTGATTGACCATTAGGATACAAAATCTCGACAAAATTTTTTTTGAAATTTCATCGTTTTAGTAAGAAGGTACCTACCTTATGATTTAGATTTTGGAAAACTTTGACAGGTCATAACTTTTTTTCTATTATAGATAGAAATCTGAAACTTTCACTGTATTTTATCCCAATGAAGGGACTACAATCTCTGAAAATTTCAACTCATTGGGACTTATAGTTCCTGAGATAAAATCCTGTTAAGCAATTTGGAGTGATTTATCAATTTTTCAATTTTTCTGAGTGCCTTTTTTTCAAGCTGTTCAAAAACATATGTAGACTCAGAAATGACATAAACAATGCTACTCAGAGACTGCATTTTTTTCAAATACAATTTTGAAATTAACTACGGCAACAATGCTTTAAACTATCAGTGTTGTAGCAGGAAAACTGCGGTTCTCATTTCCGTTCTGTTTACCCGGAAAACTGCACACACAATTGAAAATATGATGGTCAGTTTTCAACTAATTTAATTATGTTTTTCTTTATATATTTTTCCTTGATTTAATTTAGAGTTTCTCAAGGCGCATGCGCAACAGCAGGTTGCCATAGCAACGATATGTACGCGCCTCAATCTCTATTTGAAATTATCGTCCTCCTGCTGATGTTCCCTCGAGGGCGAAATTGTCCTTTGACGTCATCACTTGGAAATCTGATTAAATTATTTAATGTTTTTGACATCATATTGAAAGTTCATTTTAGGGCCGATTTCTCAATAGCGGGTCGACCCAGGGTTAAGCTCAACTTCAGGGTGAACATTGAAATTGGATCCTGGAGTTGCTATTGAGAAACTAAAAGCAAGAATTAATAGATAACTATTTCTGGTCTATTGGGCGAATGCAAAATTTACTAATTGTGAATGTACAAATTTATAGATGGCGCTACAATAGTCAGGTAGTACCAGTAAAAGTGCAAAGTTCAAGATTAATCCGGAAACAAAAAGATTGATTATCTCTCTAGTGGGTATAATCAATCAAGTTTACGTCCGGGCAGTCTGGATTCCGGAATTTTGCATTGAAATTTCAAGAGGCAAAATGTGGCGAAATAAAAAATATTGAGGGATTATATGTCTAGATAAAAACTGTATTGAATGCCATTGTGTGAATTATCTTGATTTGCTTGTAGAAACAATGTTTTTTGGAACAATATGTTTTGATTACAAATATAGAATTAAAGATTTTACTATACAAGATTATTGAGTTTCTAGTTACTAAGTATTTGACTTCATATTTGCAGCAAATATAAATCAAAACTTTCTCTATGGAGCTTTGCTTCAGATTCTGAGTGATTTCTAACTAAGCCCACACTGTTTTTCGGTAATTTCCGCAAAGATGTTCCAGGCTTTAAAATGACTCAAAATTTATAACTTGTAAGATAATTAATGAGGAAGTTGCGTATACGGGAAGAATTAAACTTTACTAGTCTTGAAACTCACTGTGGCCCCACGTTGGGCGCCAATTTGTAGGATAATGGTGTAGCAGGTTGACATCATACAGGGGACCAGCCGATCAATGGCGTGGGGATAAGGTTATTTTGTTACAAATAATTAAATTGACTGAACACCCAATTAAGAGTTAGGAATAGACAAAAATTGACTTTTCAACTATTATAATTCTCTATTAAATCAAAAATAATTATATGGAAATAAGCAAGAAAGAATTAAACAATTTAATAGGCATGTGTATAATTTTATTCAAATATAAACTATAGAAATAAAAATAAAACAAAAAAATAAAAGCAGGAACAAAAAAAAATAAAACATAAATACATATAAATTTCGCAATTTCACTTAAACAACTAATATTGCACTGATAATGATGTATTGGAATAAGTACACAAAAATAATGGATAATACTAAATATTGGAATAAGAGATCTGATACAATAAAAAAATAAAATTAATCTTGCATTATAGTCAAACAAAATTCTCTTAATAAAGTGGTCCCAAAATAAAAATTGCCTTGTCAAAAGAGTTACTCTACAGTGACACTCTTGGCCAAATTCCTTGGACAATCCACGTTGCAACCTCGCCTAACCGCAATATGGAACGACAACAATTGCATCGGGATGACAGTCAAAATACCCTGTAGACAGTCAACAGTTTTGGGAACCTCCAAATATTGACTTGCCATGTCCATCGTTTCCTTATCGCCCTTTTCGCAAATGATTATTGGATTACCATCGCGCGATTTTACTTGTTGAAGAGCGTTCATGCATTTATTGTAGACAGGATCTCGCATCACTATCATCATTACAGGCATGTGGGTGTCAATAAGGGCCAAAGGACCATGTTTGAGTTCGCCTGCCATAATACCTTCACTGTGCATATAGGTTAGTTCTTTTACTTTCTGTAAAAATATATGTATAGAAATATTAATTGATTAATTGGGTTTTTTGTAACTTACCAAGGCCCCTTCTAAACAAGTAGCAAAATTGAATCCCCTGCCCATAATAAGCAAAGATTTTTTATTGTACAAATCTTCAGCTAAAGCTTTGACTCTGTCGTCCAGTTTAAGCACTTCGCGGATTTGTTCTTGCAAGTGCTTCAACGCCTCGATGATTTCTTCGCGGCGTTTTTTCAAGCTCAGCCTATCTTCGCTCATTACCAGCGCAAACATTACCAAAGATATGAACTGGCTGGTGTATGCTTTGGTTGAGGCAACGCCGATTTCGGGTCCAGCGTTGATGTGCACCCCACAGTGGGATTCACGACATATTGAGCTGCCCACTGTGTTGGTTATGCCTACTATTAAAGCGCCGCGTTGTTTGCAGTAGCGCAGCGCCATTAGGGTATCAGCGGTTTCACCTGGAATTTATTAGAAAATCAAAGTTTATTTCCACATTGTTTAATACGATGAAGGATAAGAATCAGAATTTCAGGGATTGTAGTCCCTTCATTGAGATAAAATTCAGTAAAAGTTTCAGCTATACATCTATAATAGAAAACAAGTTATGAACTGTCAAAGTTTTCCAAAATCTAAATCATAAGGTAAGTAGGTACCTTCCTACTAAAACGATGAAATTTCAAATTTCTTTCTATTGGGATTTTGTGTCCTAATGGTCAATTAACATCCCCCAAACTCCATACACTAAATTATTCTCAGATTTGGAACCGAAATCTATGAAAAAAGGCACTCAGAAAAATTGAAAAATTGATAAATCACCCCAAATTGCTTAACAGGATTTTATCTCAGGAACTATAAGTCCCAATGAGTTGAAATTTTCAGAGATTGTAGTCCCTTCATTGGGATAAAATACAGTGAAAGTTTCAGATTTCTATCTATAATAGAAAAAAAGTTATGACCTGTCAAAGTTTTCCAAAATTTAAATCATAAGGTGAAATGAAATTTCAAAAATTTTCTTGTCGAGATTTTGTATCCTAATGGTCAATCAACATCCCCCAAACTCCATGCACCAAATTATTCTCAGTATTTTCAGAAGTTGTCAAAGTTAAAGATGATTTTAATAGAAATTCAAGAGCCAAGAATAGATCAAATGTCGATTTTTAACGGCTCTTGATCTATACTGGGTGATTTTTCTAGAGGCAATCATAATCATGTCGAGAAATAATCATCAAAATTCGGACTACTGATCAACGATACATTCAAGGTTTACAGATTTCTATTGAGAGAAGATTCAATGAAAAATTCTCACCTGATTGTGAAATAAAGAAACACACATCGTCCCTAAACACAGGCGTAGTCCTGTCCAAAAAGTCACTAGCCAGTTCGACCATGACAGGCAATTCAGTAAGCTCCTCCAAAAGCTGACGTGTAGCAATCGCACTGTGATACGAAGTACCACATCCAATCAACATCAACCTCCTACATCTCTTGATTTCAGGAATATGTTCCTTGATTCCTCCCAAAGTAACCGATCTTGTTTCAAAGTTGACACGCCCTCTCATTGTGTTTACAACCGATTCTGGCTGTTCAAAAATTTCCTTTTGCATATAATAATCATAGTTGCCCTTCATGATTTGTTGCAACTCCATTTTTAAGGTGGTAATTTCGCGGTTGGTTGGATCATCTGATCCAACGCGTCTGAGCCTGTGGATGCTCAGAATACCATTTCTGACTGCAGCAATATCATCGTCCTAAGATAATAATTTATGAGTGAGTTATTATAGTCTGACTCAGCAGGTGCTTACCTCGAAATAAATGACACGATTGGTGTGCTCAATAATGGCAGAAGCATCTGAAGCAAAGAAATATTCCACTTGTTTGTCTTCTAAGGGTTCGAATTCAGTGGAACCTGTTCTTGGTAGGCTGGGGAATTCTGAGCGGCCATGAGGTCTATGATCTACAAAATAATTTGTTTAAGTTTGAGTTTTCTGAGGCCAGTTCTTATTGTCCAACACCTTTTAATACTTACCAGATAATTATTGCACCACATACCAATAAAGCTCTTAAAGAAAACACAATAATATAAAATAATAATCCAATCACCTATATAGAATTAGTAATAAGTAATTGCGAAAAAGCTTAAAAGCAAAAATTAATTAATTGTTATTCTGTGTAAAACAAATAATGTAACTACCTGGATCGGTTTCAGCGTCTGCTCGAGCAAGAAGGTCCCCAAGGAAAAATAAAAAAAAAAAAACAACAAAATATTAAAATACATAATACACACTAAAAAAAAAAAATAACAATAATTAATCCAAAAGCTACAACTAACAAACAATTAAATATAATCAGTAAAAACAATAAAAATAATAATGTACCTTTGGGTGAGAGCGGAGGTTCGTCTATTTGCCATTAACAGTCCAGAGAAGGAAACAAAGTACCAAAACAAACATATGGTTAATAAAAAACAAACAAATAAATACAAAATTATAAAGTTAAAATAAAAACACACTAAAAATAAATAAATATATAACTAAAATGTGTATGTACAATGATTGGGTTAATAGGATTGATTAGTAAAATAAATGAAAATTATAAAGTTATTGGAAAACAAATCATGCTTGTTAGTCTACAACTGTAGATGAAAGCTTAGTTACCTTAAAAGAGGGTCCTTGTTCCAAAGTTTAATATATTTTTGCCCAACCTTAAGGGTTTGGTTTATTCACCTTCTAATAAACTCTCAGGTAATCAGGCAAGTTTATTTGAAGATGATTAAACCAGGCCTTGATCATACAAATTTAATATACCTTTTCCATACAAAATCGGAATGTGATCAGTTGCCAAGCGAGTTTTAGTCTTGATACCGACCAAAAGAGGCGAGCCCCTTCTTGTAGCCACACATTCTCCTTGGAAATGTTTAGATTTGAAGCAAAGGGCGAAAGCCCCTTCCAATTGCTGCACAACATTTTCTACAAGTTCTCTAAAGGAGAAATTCGGGTGGGTTTTGTAAAAGTGGAAAATCAATTTGGCAATGATTTCCGTGTCGGTTTCGCTCTCGAACCGGTAGCCTTTTTGTTCCAGGAAAAATTTGACTTCTTTGTAGTTGGTGATGATGCCGTTGTGGACCACAACAAAGGAGTTTTCAGTGTCTGACCTGAATAAGTTGATTATGAAATTTGGAAGTTCTGCAGGAGGACATTTTACCTGTGGGGATGGGAATTGACTTCGCTGGGTACACCGTGAGTGGCCCAACGGGTATGGGCGATGCCGCAATGAGTTTCAACGCAGCTTTTGATTTCCAGGGTGTCGCTTACTGGAAGAAATTTTGTTTATATTCCAACTAACCCAAAGTATGTGAGAATTTTTGGGTTTTTATTCAATTAAATTGACTTTCCAGGAACCTGTGAGCACCAATTCAAGACCAGAATGGCTCTTTATTCGTTGCACATTAAATATAATCAAGAACAGACAAATTTTGATTATTCCCGGCTCTTGATTATTGACTTCAATAGTCCAATCAGAAAATAGTAATAATAAAACTATCCTTGATTGAATTTCAAATAAACTGAAACGGAACAAGCAAATTTTTAGGTCAACTTCAAATTCCAATATTACGCAAATTGAAAAAAATATCAATGAGCGGTTTGCGAAAATTAACTTCTAAATTACGCAAATCACTCATTGATAACTTCTTTAGTTCGCAATAATATTGGAATCCTAAGGTAAACTAAAAATTCGCTTGTTCCGTTTCATTTGTCCAGCAGTTTATTTGCTCTTCAAAACCCAATTCCTTCTTAGTTATTACTAAAATTCCACAGATAATTTTTCTAATTTGACTGAATAATTCCTTGCACCAAAAACGTTTTCAAGGTTTATTTTTCAAAAAATGACTCGCAAGATTCGAAATTCTTTTACCTTCTTTGATGGCCTGTTCCAAGAGCGCAACCTTTCCGGTTTTCTTGATCAGTGTAATGTCCTTTTCGTTGGCGGCATCAACGGCGACACCTATATAAAAGTGAAAGGTGCAAAATATATAATGCATTCCTCTCAAGAATTTTATCGTTTTGTTGTTTGCTAATTGTCAAAATACATAGTCTGATTGATGAAGGACTTAATCCCTAATAGAGTAAACAACAATTATTGCAGACAGATATTAATAATTTTAAAACAAATAATTATTTTCTCCCATTTCTACCTGCAGAATCGTAGCCACGATATTCCAATCGTTTCAGTCCGTTGACCAGCAATTCCAAAATTTCTGACCTCTTCTTTGGGGTGAGGTAGTTCAAGTATGCAAATATTCCTAGAAACAATACCAAAACAACCTTGATCCAAAAACACAAATTGCATATAGACAAAATAATGCTTAAAGCTTCTTCTTATTATATATGTCTTTTACTAGTTTCACTTTCGCTTTTTGAACTATGTATTGGTTATTCAATATTTGTGGCCTTGGCATTCTAAAAGAAGTGGATTTACTCCTTGCTTGGGTATTAAATATTTATTAAATTGACATTAACAATAGATTGAGTAAATATTTTACACCGAAATATTATTTGGCAATGTTTTTTTTTCAGGTTTTTCTATTTGATACCTATCAGGGTTGGCAAACAATTCTCTTTACTTTTTGGATTTTCGATGTGCAGGTCAGTTTTTGTACACCAGAGAGAAGAAATCATGGATAATTTCCACTGATTTCTTCTAAATACCAGTACCAGTAAGATTGTCCAAAAGTTCTCTCTACAGTTTTTAAAAATTTTGAAAATATGTAGGGCATTTGTTGCATCTATATAGAAATTGACTGATTATAGGATTTCTTTTAAAATTTTCCCTGATTGCCTTAAATATCCTCCGATTTCCTCTTGATTTTTCCTAATCTATACACCAAATTTCCCTTGCGGTTTTGGTACCCCCATGAATATTTTCACATAAATTACCACAAATAGGTAATAGCCTACGATAATTTTTTGAAATTGTTTCAAATTTTCTGTTATTTGAAGGCAACTGACATTTAATGTAATTCCATAAGAATTAACGAATATTAGATGTAATTCCATAGAAATTTTCTAGAACTGTTTTCAACATTCTACAAAAATGTTATATTTTTCGAAATTTCATCAATATTTCATGGTGATAATGTCATGTAATTTCTTAGATTTCTTTGAAATTCCATGCAATTTACCCAGAATTTCGACTAGAATTTCATGTATTCCTCAAAATTTCATGTAATTTTATAGAAATTCTTCAATTATATTGAAAAATTCCATGTACTTTCTTAAAATTGCATTGAAATTCCATTAAGATTCCATGTAATTTCGTGGATTTTTATTGAATTTTAAGAAATTCCCGACAAATCACATGAAATTTCAGTGCAATTCTGACGAAATACATGAAATATCAATAAAAATTCGAGAAGTTAGATGAAATTTAAGAGGAATATCAAGAAATTCCAGCAGAACCACATGAAATTCTAGTGAAATTCCGAGGAATAATATGAAATTTGAGTAAATAGTCAAAATGTAGAGACATGTAATATTTCAATCTACAGGGTGATTTTTAAATCAAGCCTCATAACAATTACTCTAAAATCAGATATTTCCTTCATAAGGTAGGTACCTACTTTCTTACTAAAACGATAAAATTTTTAAAAAAATTTGTTCAGATTTTATGTTCTAATGGTCATTTGGTATACCCCCAAACTCCATACAATAAATTATCATCAGATTTCAAGCCAAAATCTTTGAGAAAAGGCACTCAGAAAAATTGAAAAATTGATAAATCACCCCCATATTGCTTAACACGATTTTATCTCAGGAACTATAAGTGTAAATGAGCTGAAATTTTCAGGAATTGTAGTCCTTTGAAAGGGATAAAATTCAGTGAAAGTTTCAGCTTTCTATCTATAATAGAAAAGAAGTTAGGACGTTTCAAAGTTTTCCAAAATCTAAATCATAAGGTCTTCTTACTAAAACGATGAAATTTCAATTTTTTTTTTGTTGAGATTTTGTGTCCTAATGATCATTTGGTATCCCCCAAACTCCATACACTAAATTATCCTCAGATTTCAAGCCAAAATCTATGAGAAAAGGCACTCAGAAAAATTGAAAAATTGATAAATCACCCCAAATTGCTTAACACAATTTTATCTCAAGTAATTTCAAAGTGGAATTCCGAGAAATTCAGTAAAAAAAGTAGGTACCTACCTTATGAAGGAAATATCTGATTTTAGAGTAATTGTTATAAGGCTTGATTTAAGAATCACCCTGTAGATTGAAATATTACATGTCTTTACATTTTGACCATTTACTCAAATTTCATATTATTCCTCGGAATTTCACTAGAATTTCATGTGGTTCTGCTGGAATTTCTTGAAATTCCCCTTAAATTTCATCCAACTTCTCGAATTTTTATTGATATTTCGTGTATTTCGTCAGAAGTGCATTGAAATTTCATGTAATTTGACGGAAATTTCTTAAAATTCAATAAAAATCCACGAAATTACATGGAATCTTAATGGAATTTCAATGCAATTTTAAGAAAGTAAGTACATGAAATTTTTTAATAAAATTGAATTTCTATAAAATTACATGAAATTTTTGAGGAATACATAAAATTCTAGTCGGAATTCTGGGTACATTGCATGGAATTTCAAAGAAATCTAAGAAATTACATGACATTATCACGAAAATCCCAAAAAAAAAAAACATGAAATATTGATGAAATTCCGAAAAATATGATAACATTTTTGTAGAATTTTGAAAAATTTCAAGACAGTTCCAGAAAATTTCTATGGAATTACATCTAATATTCGTTAATTTTTATGAAATTACATGAAATGTCAGAGTTGCCTTCAAATAACAGAAAATTTCAATACAATTTCAAAAAATTACCAACATAAAATTTCAGTGGAATTGTTAACCAAGAGAATTGCATGAAATTCCGAAAAATTACACACACACAAGACTTTTTTCAAAATTTCACCATAAGTTTTCGTGAGATTCCTCAAAATTCCATCAAAAATTTCATAAAATGCTTCGAAACTTCACTAAAATTCCACTATAGGATTTCATTAAATTTTTCGATAAGATCTTATGGAATTCGTCAACATTTCACTAAATTTTCAAAGTATTCCATCAGAATCCAATAAATTCTTTGAGATTTTATGAAATTCCACGGGAATTTCACTTTGAGATTTCATAAAATTCTTTGGAATTCCACCAGTAAATTTCCTGAAACTACTCAGAATTCCACGAAAACTTCAACTTTTCTTTTATGAGAATTCAGCGTAAATTCTTGTTCAGAATTCCATTGAAATTTGGATATTCTAAGACAATTTCTCGGAATTCCACTTTGAAATTACTACTTGACATCTTATAGTTCCTGAGATAAAATTACTCTAAAATCAGATATTTCCTTCATAAGGTAGGTACCTACTTTTTTTACTGAATTTCTCGGAATTCCACTTTGAAATTACTTGAAACCCTATAGTTCTCGAGATAAAATCGTGTTAAGCAATTTGGGGTGATTTATCAATTTTTTAATTTTTCTGAGTGCCTTTTCTCATAGATTTTGGCTTGAAATCTGAGGATAATTTAGTGTATGGAGTTTGGGGGATACCTAATGATCATTAGAACACAAAATCTCAACAAAAAAATTTTTGAAATTTCATCGTTTTAGTAAGAAGGTACCTACTTTATGATTTAGATTTTGGAAAACTTTGAAATGTCATAACTTTTTTTCTATTATAGATAGAAAGCTGAAACTTTCACTGAATTTTAGCGCAATCAAGGGACTACAATTCCTGAAAATTTCAACTCATTTACACTTATACTTTCTGAGATAAAATCGTGTTTTAAGCAATTTTGGGTGATTTATCAATTTTTCTGAGTGCCTCTTCTCATAGATTTTGGCTTGAAATCTGAGGATAATTTAGTGTATGGAGTTTGGGGGATACCTAATGATCATTAGAACACAAAATCTCAACAAAAAAATTTTTGAAATTTCATCGTTTTAGTAAGAAGGTACCTACTTTATGATTTAGATTTTGGAAAACTTTGAAATGTCATAACTTTTTTTCTATTATAGATAGAAAGCTGAAACTTTCACTGAATTTTAGCCTAATCAAGGGACTACAATTCCTGAAAAATTTCAACTCATTTACACTTATAGTTTCTGAGATAAAATCGTGTTTTAAGCAATTTTGGGTGATTTATCAATTTTTCTGAGTGCCTTTTCTCATAGATTTTGGCTTGAAATCTGAGGATAATTTAGTGTATGAAGTTTGGGGGATACCTAATGATCATTAGAACACAAAATCTCAACAAAAAAATTTTTGAAATTTCATCGTTTTAGTAAGAAGGTACCTACTTTATGATTTAGATTTTGGAAAACTTTGAAATGTCATAACTTTTTTTCTATTATAGATAGAAAGCTGAAACTCTCACTGAATTTTAGCCCAATCAAGGGATTACAATTCCTGAAAATTTCAACTCATTTTACACTTATAGTTTCTGAGATAAAATCGTGTTTTAAGCAATTTTGGGTGATTTATCAATTTTTCAATTTTTCTGAGTGCCTTTTCTCATAGATTTTGGCTTGAAATCTGAAGATAATTTAGTGTATGGAGTTTGGGGGATACCTAATGATCATTAGAACACAAAATCTCAACAAAAAAATTTTTGAAATTTCATCGTTTTAGTAAGAAGGTACCTACTTTATGATTTAGATTTTGGAAAACTTTGAAATGTCATAATTTTTTTTCTATTATAGATAGAAAGCTGAAACTCTCACTGAATTTTAGCCCAATCAAGGGACTACAATTCCTGAAAATTTCAACTCATTTACACTTATAGTTTCTGAGATAAAATCGTGTTTTAAGCAATTTTGGGTGATTTATCAATTTTTCAATTTTTCTGAGTGCCTTTTCTCATAGATTTTGGCTTGAAATCTGAGGATAATTTAGTGTATGGAGTTTGGGGGATACCTAATGATCATTAGAACACAAAATCTCAACAAAATTTTTTTTTGAAATTTCATCGTTTTAGTAAGAAGTTTACTTTATGATTTAGATTTTGGAAAACTTTGAAATGTCATAACTTTTTTTCTATTATAGATAGAAAGCTGAAACTCTCACTGAATTTTAGCCCAATCAAGGGACTACAATTCCTGAAAATTTCAACTCATTTACACTTATAGTTTCTGAGATAAAATCGTGTTTTAAGCAATTTTGGGTGATTTATCAATTTTTCAATTTTTCTGAGTGCCTTTTCTCATAGATTTTGGCTTGAAATCTGAAGATAATTTAGTGTATGGAGTTTGGGGGATACCTAATGATCATTAGAACACAAAATCTCAATAAAAAATTTTTTGAAATTTCATCGTTTTAGTAAGAAGGTACCTACTTTATGATTTAGATTTTGGAAAACTTTGAAATGTCATAATTTTTTTTCTATTATAGATAGAAAGCTGAAACTCTCACTGAATTTTAGCCCAATCAAGGGACTACAATTCCT